AACACAAAACCAACTCTATAAACACATTCAATAAATTCTGTTACTTACTTTCTTCCTCATATGGAGCAAAAAATTGTGGTTGCTCAAATCCAGTGGATCAAAGTCAGTGTTTCTCTTTGAAAGACAGAGCTCATCTCTCCCTCTGTGTGTGTGTGTGTGTGTGTGTAGTGTCCCAGCATGTAGTGAAACTTGAGGATGGGCTGGCAGTGTGTTTTCACTCCAGACAGATCGGTGCAGTCTTTTGACGCGGTGGAGAGAGGCCGCCTACAGGCTGAGTCATTGTGTCACACGCTGACGCTGTCTGAGAGCATTTTTTCTCTTTTCCATAACTCCCACGTATCAATTTGTTCGTCAGGAGAAAGTGGGCACTCATTCCCTCCAGGGAAATATTTCACAATATGTCGAGGTTATTCTGCAAGCTGCTGTTTGGAAAGTGGAAAAAAACACAATGTCCTGTGGAGGATTTGGGCTCAAACTTCATTGTTGTTATTTATATTTATCTTTTCCTATTGTTTCAGCTCAGAGAAGAAACTTGTGATACCGTTGCTTCAGCGTGAGCGTGTGCAGATGTGAAGAATTCCGGTTGCATAATCTCCTCATGACTTACATTGATGAAGTGAATCCAAGTAAAAGCTATTATCCATAATTGATTTCCATTATTAAATCAATGGCAGTAACAGAGGATGCATTTGGGAAATACAAAGGGGCAGATGAGTTCAATGATGACTCACACGGGAGCACAACATGAGAAGATCTCGGACATGCGACGTTCTGCAAACATGTACCGTGTGTTTTGTTTGCTATCAGGGAGGGAGTGCTTGGCTTGCTAGTGCTGAGAGTGTGACAGACACTCTGAGCTGAGTCAGGTCATCCACACTCAACAGCAGGTCACGACTAAATATAACCCAGATGGCTCAGGACCCTGCAAAAACAAAAACACACACTGCAGTCAGCGAGGTGGAGCGCTCAACACTTTCACATGAACAGGTGAGAGGAAAACAACCTGACTAATATCAAAATTATCACTTCATTCGTGGGATCCAATCAGATGTCAGCGTTTATACTGATTTACTCACATATGACGGCATTTCAAGCATGAACGCTGCCAGAAGTCAGTCATTGATAAACAAGTTGCACGTCTGCAGGATCGGACAAGGCACCAACAACGCACACGTGTTGATTTTCAGAAGTAAAATCTACCTGCACATGTAGCAAAACTCTTTTTAATGACAAGGAATCATTCAGGAAGCTCAGTGTGGACGTGAAAAGAAAAAGAGGCAGCGTTTGTAACAGCTTTTCCCCACAGGCCATAACCCTCTGAATTTGCACAGTCAAAACAAGCTACTTTTGCTGTTGTACCATAGAATCTATTGTACCTTTAATCATGTGTTTTTGAAATATTTAAAAATATTGGAACTCAGGCACTTGAGTCTTTTAACTGTTTGCATGTGTACGTGTGTGTGAGAAAGCAAGTTTTACAGATGCAGCTGGACTGAGATAGATGAAGTTGAAACTTTAAACTTGGAAACATATTTTACTGGCCGTCATAATAGAAATGGATGACTTGGAGCGAGAAGGTATAAATGAGGAGCTGATTCAGTTTGCCATTCAAGAGAGCGTTCAAGATGCCTTCAAGCTGCCATGTTCAGTACAAACACACAGGTATGAGTCCATGTCATCGTATACCCATGAAAAGTATTTCTCTGTCACTGATTTATTAATTTGTCATTATTATAGAGTTTTTACTGTATGTGTACAAGGATGCCTCTATA